AGGAACTCTATTTCCTTTGCTTGGCCACCACGGGCACGYTTGCAGAAGYCCAGACGCTGAWCYCAATTTTCGACGGTTTTCAAGCATAAATCGGCCGATACTTTGATTTTACTTTGGATATTCGTACGAAGTTCATCAATCGTCGCTRGCTTGTTGGCATAGACCATAGACTGGACGTTGCTTAGTAAAATCCACAAACTTTGACGATTCTGCTGGTGAAGCCACTTTAGYTCTTGCGTTTGATCTTGTAAGGATGTAGGCCAAGGTCCTTTATCAAAATTCGTCACAACTAAGTCACAGAGATGCCCAACGCACGGGAATATTTTGTACTGCGGTGGATTAAAATTTTTCCATCATCCTTTGACAGGACAATTATGAAGACCATAAATTGATATAGATATGGTTAATATTTAAATAGCTTCAGTAAATCATAAAAATATCATGTCAATTTTCATCCTTTGAAAAGGTAAATAACTAAAAAAAATTATCTTAATATTACATTAATTTAAGTTTATTCTTAATCTTTGATGCCGCTTTTAAGAACAAAAGATTAGTCGGTTTTTTAATAAACGTATACCGAGTCAAGTTCGATTCGTTGGGCGAGCTTAATACAGTTARTGGGTGCATTTGAAGTGAGGGTGAAGTTTTCGTCGTGTATCAAAAAGTATCCTATTCAATTAATCATTCACAAAAATGTTTGTTTATTTCTATTTAATTGTGTTTTTGCTTTTAGGTTGCTATTCTGAAATTTGCATTGGATTTCATTTGAGTTTGTTTTTGTCAACAAAAAGGTAGGCATAACTAATTGTTCATTTCTCACTCACAGTTATAACGTTGCTATTTGGTATAGAAGTCTGCTTGAATAAAAAGCTTAACTAACATCTAATACGAAGATATTTTCAAGAGGAACACAACGAAGAGCGTGAACGAATTATAATTGCTATGGGCGCGCTCTGCTCTCTCGTTCATTTTTATTAATAAGTGGCTCCCGCATATGGCTGGTTGTTTTGAAAGTATGATATGTAAAATAWGTATGTATGAAAGTAAAATATGTATGTATGTATATATTTGCAATTTCACTCATGCTTTCTCCTAGCAATTAGTTTAAGTGCTAATGTGTTTATGCTCACGATCGCTCTTCATCAAGTGAGCAAAGCGATCGACTCTGTTTATCGATTTTTAACCACATTTACTTAAGAGCAGAAGCCACAAATGTGTGAGCAATATTACCGTTATGCGAGGCTTCTAAGCAAGCTATCTTCAAGATAAAAGTAATGAATGGTTTGAAGTTGTCGTGCGATTCTCGAATTCAATGACGTAATCGATGAGTGAAGATAGCGGATAGCCTTCCGCTGCTATTATCTGGCATAAGGTTGTATTATTCATTATTTTTCACCTTCTTCATAACAGTGGGTTCTAAGTCTTAGATAGTTGCCATATGTTAGAAAATATTAGATAAAAAACATTTATAAGTACATATATGTATACATATACATACATATGTGTACTATGGAAAAAATGCCAAAGGAAGAGATTCAGGGAAGATTAAATTTAATATCTTTTCAGGAGAGTTGCTATTTMATTGCATGTTTTGAGTAAACATTAAAATTGATAAGATAAATAACAGCAATAAGAAAGCAATTTAAAAAGGTTGGTTAGAAAGTCTAACGAAGTGATGATATTTTTGAGAAATTTTTATTTTTACTAAATCTGGATTCATGCTAAAATTTAATTGAATCTGGCAATCCGATGCAAATACGCGCCATAACAACAAAACATTATAAAGGCTACAAGAAATATGCAAATTTTTATCTAAAACACTTTTTTTTTGTATTTTTGCAATCATAAATTAAGCATGTTAGCCACTAAACCAGTTTGTTATTATTARTTATTATTTGTCGTGTTTGTTTCCGATTTTTTTGTTAAATTTTTTTTGTGTTGTGAACTCTACGCAACGCGATGAGAAGTGGGTTAAACGTGGAACAATAAGAAAAAAAATTGTTACAAGAAAATGCAACTAAAGTAAAAATTAAAAGAATACTTAGTCGGCGATTTATATTTTTTTACCGGATTGCAAATTTTTTTAATATGTCAGTGATTTTATTAACCGTTTTCGCAACAGGTGGCAAAGCCATTTTCTATGTGTGAAGAAAAAAATGCTACTTAAAGCGGAAATTRACCGAAACGAATTCGTTTGTGAAAAATATGTCTATGTAAGTTTTGTTCTTACATACGAGATCCAGTCTCGTTGTAATACTCGTATATTATATACAAAAGTATTAAGGATTGACCATATAAAAGAATTTGATTTTGAAAATTAGGGCTTCGTTCGTCGTAATAGTAATAATAATAGTGAGCGACACTTATTTTTATTTATTAAAACATCAATAACTTAATATAAAGGGCAAGAGCGGAATTCGTTCATATCCTTTTAAAAAGTATGCTGTAGAATTCTAGGCACATACTGATAGTTTAAGATTGCCAACAATAGGTATTATATACATATATGTATATGTATGTACGAATATTAAAGAAATCTTAAAAATTTTCTTTATTTTCCGTATTTTTATACCCGCTTTTAAAAACTTGTATCTGCCGCGCATATATTCCTTATACCTCTGATATTAATATTATGCATCGTAAATCTACATTGATCTCCTYAAGGAAATCTATACACCCTTATTCTACAAAATACATACATACATACATATGCGTGCAACCAATAATATGTATGTTTTTGGCAAAAAGAAGCGAATGAGCCAGACTCCATTGAGCTCCCACTGAACACAGCTCACAATCTATGCATCTCAAACGTCAGCAGTGAATTTATCTGTTTTTCAAAGCGTAGASAAACCAGATGTGGCTTCATTTTTCGCATAACAATGCAATTCGATACACAGACACCTTACATGCCCAAGTATGTATGTATATATGTATACTTAAGTGGTAATACTACGATCGAGAGCTTTTGGAAGACAACTATTGTCCAACACAGCCGTGGTTAGACAAGCAGCAGCTTGTAAGCGGCGACAAGGCGACGCAACGTAGTGCAGGCTGTTTGTGGGCGAGATTTCATTCGTCATGCCGTTCATTTGTACATACAAGTATGTAATACATATGCATGTACATACATACAGATGGATTTTTCAATATTTTATTTTATATGTATATATCGGTTTTATTATCTATGCATATGTATGTACGAGCGTGTTGTCGTTGTGACTGTTTTGCGATGAATTTGTGTTACTGTTGTTGTTATTATTTCAGTTATGCTTCAACGATCATTTTCAATTGTCTCCACCCTCTGTTCTTGGGGTTAAACTTTTATGAACAGCCTCTAAAGCGCACCCATCAAACGACCAAAACAAAATTGTGAAATTTAGAAAAAGGCATGAAAAACACAAACATCAAATGCTTTTATTTCTTATTTCATATGTTGTTGATAGACGCAATTGCGGCGATCTTTGCCGCTATAACCTTACACAGATGTTGCCACTGTTGTCTATTCTTGATTGTCACAATGATGATGCTCTGTTGAAAGCAGCCACCCTAGTAATAATGACATTTATTATTGTTATTTGTTGCCTTTGATGTCGAAATGCGTATGCCAATGTCATAGAGCTAAGTTTTTTAAGATTTAGGTKAAGCAAAATTTTTCTTGGTTCTAATGCTTTTTAGAAAGCACTCCCGTCTGCTTCTGGGGCGACGAAATCGGCGCAGCAATACTGATACGCCAGTAGGAATTTCTACTTCAGCCGACTACGAGTAGGATGATGGGGGAAGGCGGTCGGCAACCGYTGTGAGTAGAACCTTCATACGCATCGGAATCGTCAGCACTAGCAAAGGAATCTCTGGTAGACTCATGAAAGACTCTACAGGAGGTAGAAGAAGAAGGACAGCGATAGCTAAACAGCTGAAGGCAGACTGTCGCTTGGCAGACAAAATGGGGGAACGCTTCGCTGATAAGCATGCCGGTCAGGTGTCTGAGCAGCATGCTAATATACTCGAGTGGGTCAGAAGTGTGCTCAGCGATAGCAAACACGTTAGAGAAAGACCGGACGTAACTGAAACTAAACCAKCGGTTAAGCGATAAAGGTCGCATGAGTGAGATGCCTCTCCTTGCGAATGGGGCTACATCAACATTTAGCGAATTCGTTAAAAATGCTGGTTCAATAGAGCTGGCCGTGTCCCGCGAGAAATGGAAGAGAGTGGCGGCAGCTATTTCCTCAGTCTTCTTAAAGGTATTTAGAGGAAACACTTGGTTACCTTGAACGTGTGACAGTGCCGAATGSCTTTCATAAGCTCATTAGGTGTGCCGATGTACGATCGGTTATCCTAAGGGAAGGTTTGGAAGGGAGCTAGGTTGGAGGCTGTGGACAAAATGGATTTACCGCTTYGCTTCCTGTCTGGCTGCCAACTGAAACTTCCTCTCCGAGTGAGATTAAGGAAATCTTCAGATACTGAAACCCGTCACTACCCACGCATCACCGGAGGGTAATAATGCTGGAGAGAATCGAGGAACCATATCGGCAAGCATAGATTCTGCTAAATGCGGAGTCCGTCGGTCTTCTCAGCAAAAGCAGTGGATCCATAAGCTATGGGTTCGAAAGGGTGGTCCTCAGGATACTCCCGACGGTTCCTCAGATGTCGGACGAATATATGTATATAGCATATAGCTAACATATAAACTGAACGATCGAAATCAATTTTTTGTAGGGAAAACTTTTTTATTGGACAAGATATCTTCAGAAAAGTTAGTACAGATTATTGTCCAAGGCAACGCTGCAATCTCGGAACATATTGTTTAAATAAAATTTCATACATTTTGGATATTAATAAAAACAGGAGTGTTAGATTTGTTCAATTAATCTGTAAAAAATTATTAATTATAATTTTTCCGGTAATCTTTCGTGATTCTCTGGTGATTAGCTAACATTTTTTGAAGTTAAAATTTATAAACAAATTTTGTTTTATAACTCTTATTTTTAAATTTTTCTTACCTTTTCATAATTGCACGCTGACCTTTCAAAGGTGAAGAAGTCTTTAGCATACGGCATATGTTTTGAAATGTATGTATGTAATATGATTGTGGTCCAAGCTTTTACAGTGACTTGCTATTTTTACAATGTYTGTCTTAGCACTTTTTAATTATGTTTTTTATTATTTTATTATTTYTGAAAGATCGCATCTGTTGAAAAGTATAGTTCCCTTTAAATTTCTCGTCTATGTTATTTAAACTTTTTTGTATTTAAAAAACACTAGTAAAATAAATATAGTTAGTTCTATTATAATTCTTGTCTAGTGTTTTCGTGACTTAATTTCTATCGCTTGTACAATTTACACACATAAACACAATTACATATGCATGTACATATATTTGTTTTTTTCTTTTTTCCAATGCGTTACGGAAWCTAATTTTTACGGACTAAATGCTTATTTGTGTGTTGTTTTTTTTCATAACTTATTTAATTGCACGACCGGCGCTCATTAAACTACGAATAAATTTTATTTCCACATAGCTCAGAGTACATATAGACAATAATATTTTTGTATATGTAGTTAATTTCTCAATTTCCTTCACGTTTTTGCACTTATTCACAGTTTTTTTCAAGCAGCAACACTTATTTATCAGATTATTTGCTGTTTATTGTTTTTTGTCTGTGGCATACGTGGACGATTCGCTCTTAATTTAACAACACATAGAGTATAGTAAATATGCAAATAAATGTTGTAAAAAGCATCCTTAAGCAAAACAATTTAAGCATAAAATAAAACCGAAGAATAAAAGCTTGCAGCTTTCGAAACAGTCAAGAGAATAAAAACCACCGCAGCACAACCTCAAAACAGTACTGACAACAAGCTGAGGATACGAGTGAATCCGTACCAATCGGGGYGCACTTGGCTGATAAATGTGTGTCCCTGCCACCGCAGTTGTCGGTTGTTGCTGCAGCGACGATTTCGAATTGTGCCGGTAGTGAGCGCCTAGTGAGTCTTAGTTGGATACCTTGGTTTGCCGATTTTCTTTATTGGCTTTCGTGTTGGTGCTTGTTGCAATATGTGTGTGTGTGTGGTGTTTATTTGTTTGCTYGGGTAACTGGCATACGACTAGCTACACTCTTACTAACGGCTGTTAATTGGCTGATGGAGTCCCCGGTCGGACAGAGACGCTGCCCACTGCGATTACAAYAACCAGATCTATTGTTGACATCTATATTTGTGAAGTTCGTAGGTAAATGGGAAATGTATAGGTGAATGTACTACGACACTATTCTATAACGGTGTTGTAACTTTGGTTTTGAGTAAAGAACCGTAGGGAAGGGACACACTCACGGAWACATTGGCGCAGCAGATTACACAACACGTGTTGAAGAAAAAGTACAATTTGTTACTTGTAATATGTACACCTGTTCTTTAAGTTGTTGGTCTTTATCATAAAGWATTCTCACTTTTATATTTTTACTTTTTATATTATTTGTTTATTAATACTTCACTTTTCATATATGTATGAATATTTACACTAAAGTAGTTAACAATATATTTCAGTCCCTTGTGGTTAATAATTAATAAATATATTTGTTATTGTACTGCTGGATGTTTCGCCATGGGCGTTGGACGGATAAGAATRGGCTCGCGGCAAACACACACGGATGGTAGTGATTGCTTTCTTGGGGTTGCGACACGAATATGGATGGATAAATGGATCGCAGTGAAATGTAATGCAGTGCAGCACGAGTATACTGCCACTATACGTCGGCGACATTAATACGACAACGTCGACGACACCGCTGATGCGCACGAATCGCATTTGAGTACAAGTGGGAGCGTTATTCAGTGGGAGCTTTTACATTTCGCGCAGACCATTCGCACACATTAGTCCCACTTGCTTTCCATGTTATTTCTGTATATAGCTTGGAGATGTAAAGAGAGAGAGAGAGAGAGTGGAAGAGTTACAGTGGTCTAAGGCACTCAAAAGTGGAATTAAGGTACGAAAGTAAGAACTACTGTAAAATTCCCAGTTTAAGAAAGTTCATTATGAAAATTATAGGTTGATAGGTTGATGGTTTTGCCCGGCAAACAAACAAATTGTTTAAATATGATATAATCTGATCATACTTCGGRCAAGAAAAAGCGGCTAAAAGAATCCAGAACTGAATTATCTGCATTCATCTATGAGCCATGATGAAATTTCGTATTTCGAGAAGTGCAATGAAATGGTAACCGATGTAGATTAGTCCATTAGGTGCCCAATAACATTAAATGTGATGATCAATTTTGACTTTAATGAGTTTTTGTGCGATATAAAAAGAAAGATTTATGAAAGAATATTAATGAATAGTAAGGGCCCAATAGACCTAAGGTCGAGATGCAATCCTCATGTAATAATCAATCCATAAATTAATAATAAAATTGTACCCTTATAGGAACCACCGTATTACAAATTTTCATTTCGTTTCAAGAGAAGGTTGAAAAATTGTGAAATTGAACCAATGTAGGCATATGTATGCYTGTATGTGTACATAACATCTCTCACCTGTGCTCTTACTCGCACACTRCGCTACTCTCAGAGCTAACGTAGAAGCGATGCTCAACTTGACACTTTGACAACAAGTATAAACATTCTTGTTGTTATATTTAATTCATATTTTTCGTTTTTTGTTTCGAAAGCGATAAGTAATTGAAAAAACCAAAACAATTGCGCTTACACGCATTCAAAAAGTATACATACATATGTACTTACATTTATACAATGTACTGACTGCTCTTGCTAAAGTTTTTGTAAGAATTCTTAAAAGATTTCGTAACCACTTCGTTTCGGCTCCATTGATACACATTTACCGCTGGCTTTACGCCGACCGCACGCTGACAGTTGACGAAGTTAAAAGTAGCAAAGTGCAGCGGAAGGCATGCATTCGGYTCTCACGAAAGCCCAAAGCGCCAACASAGATCTTTACTTCCAYTTCGCTTGAGYAAAACTTCACCATCACTTGGCCAACTACTCGTGCCCTCACTGCTCCAATGAAATGCAATCAAATTTGCTGTCTCAGCGTTTAGCGCTCAGCTCAGCGCTGCTCGGTTCGCCTCAATACGAACAAGGCTAAAACAGCGCCGGCAGCGTTAATGGCAAGAGCATGGGGTTTGCTCGGTTGGGGTGCATTGCGAAATATGGCAATAGTGCAATGGTATTGCTGCGATCGTTATTCCTCGTTAATATTGTTGTTGTGACAAATGTTGGCAGAGCTGTCGTCGTCATTGTCCTCGTTTGACTTCAGCTATCTCAGCGTTTTTGCCGCTGAAAAAATTTGCTGTTCAAAGTGCCGAAATGGCGAGTTCTGCTTTGGTTGCATAAAGGTGCGCATGTATGTAGGTATGTGTGTGCGACAGGTTAAAATTGCAGCAACAGCGTCAAAGAGTTGGTTTCTCCTGATTGCAATTCTTTTGATTTGAGGTAATTTAATTTTTTTCTTGCATTTTTTGTTGAGCTCTGTAGCGTTGTGGTGTATTGCGTAAGGGCGGCAATCGCAATTCTCTTCGCTTAACGTTGTTGTTGAAATTTTTTCCWGAGTCCAAGAAATTATCAAGCAGAACGTGGTTGCAATGCAAGAAGGGGAATCGAGGAATTTTATTACTGGAGGATACATAGAAGGGTAAATGATCAAAAGGTCATACGTTAGTCCATAGAGTATATGATTTGAAGTTTATTCTTCGAAATATGCTTAATATAGTAAAATATTTTGTTAGGTAATCAAGTGTGTTACGTGTTATAGTGGGATTTGATCTATCTGATTTTTKAACAACGTAAGATGAATGTCGTTGCTAATATTGTGGGGAATCTAGCACTCGAAACTCAGCGGCTGAGTTGTACCATAGAAAATTCAAGATTCTTTAAGTAGTTACGCCATCTCAATTGGGCTGTCACGTCAGAAATCAATTATGCTCTAGGAATTCTGATGAGTTTAGAGGTGTACATCAATCAAGAAAAATAAGAACAAATGTAAAGATTTAAAATTTCATAGTTCTAGATAAAAATGGAGACAATTTTTTGATTTTTCGAAGTATTTACGGTTGGTTCAGCTGATGAAAACTTTATTTCAAAATTTTTAATTAAATAACTCTATATATTGAATTATTCATACCGTTCTACTGCTGATACATATTTTTTATCTTATTTCGAAGTTGCATGCAATTTCAATCCAAATAAACGCCCCTTGGACCATTGGTGTCCTTACTCGAATTTCTACACATCAGTGTTCTTATCTTYCAGTACTTGATAAAATATATTTTTATACACTACAAAATTAAAGGGGCGTTACCCAACAAACCAAAACTTMTTAGTAATTAACACACACTTTCAGGATCATTAGGCGAGTACTGGTGCGTGAGGCTCATTAAGTCGAAAACTAACGCTGAGTAATTAATCAAAACCAGTGTTGGAGATGTGTGAAGAAAGCAGATCAAAGGCGCACACATATACATATATTAAATAACGTCGAGTGGAAARTTGTTTTTTCTTGTAAAGAAAATATATATTTCACTAAAATATCTCAATAATTAGATTCTAAATTTTTTAGAATAGATAAAGTAAAGTATAAGTTGGCAGATTAGTCAAAAAGTAACAGAATTTTGAAAGGAAATTTATTCAGTAAGATTTCAGTAAACCATTTTTAATTATTACGATTAAAGAACGGGGTCTTATTGCAGTCATGTAGCTTCGCCTTGATTTATGGACGATTCTTACTCTTTCTTTTATTTTCAAGYCTTTAAACCAAGTGTTGTCATTTGCAGGCAAGTAAATTTCGTGCCGWCGTGTAGCGCAGTCATCTTTGGGTCCAAAGCTTTAACCATCAACTGCTTGACAAAGTATCCGAATGGATGATTTTGAAATTTAAATGTTATAGAAATACAACAATTATACATAAGTATATAAATCATGCATATATTCCAACTAACAGCTGGTAGGGGCTTTACTGGCTCTACAATCGCTGGAGCGTAACAAGTGCATAACGGATACAATAACAACCACATACAAACATTAACTCGAAAGAGTAGCAATATATTAGTTGCTAGCTGAGAGCGACCAGACACGGCGAGCATTGCTTTACCYACTGATTCTTCCACGCTCCAACACAACTGCAATATGCCGATCGTAAGCTTTGCAGGCATTAGCTGTGATTCCTACGGCCAAGAGTAAAACAATAAGGGTGTGCTGARGTGGAGGATAAGAAGGAGGTGCAACATGCCAGACAATTTTGTATACAGACACGCAAACACATTAACTTTTCAAAGTATGTACATACATACATACATATATATACTCGTATGTAAGTATGTATATGAGTTGTATATGCATGCCGTAACTGAAAACGATCGCAGGAAGACTGGGGTGCCAAAAGGTAATCAGCAAAGTGGGGCGCATAATCACGCTACGAGCGCTCTAGGCATGAGGGTATGTAACCGTGGATCTATATATGGATATATATACATACATATGTATATGTACATTTGTATGTGTCTATGTTGTACTATGAGGATCGCTTGTTCGCCGTGGCGGATGGGTGTGGTGCAAATAAAGCGCATGGATGAAGCRAGACTCGAATTTACTCATACACAAATTTGTAAATAGCCTAGAAATTATACTGCTGAATGAACGATGAAAACAAGGTGGGGTTGTGAAACGTTAAAAAATAGCTCAGTAGCGAATTGTGAGCAAAAATAAAAACATTTCGCACCCTTTTATGTGAAAAAGGGATACACGAGGAGATTGAAGTTGCAGTTGTTAGTTAGCAAGTGCAGAAGTATTTTGGAACTCAACATGCTAGGTACGAACCATGACGCTTGGCAAGTTTGATAATCAGGGTAGCAAGTGAATTTTTAGGTGGAATAGTTGGGTGGGGAGATTACGAAGACGTGCAGCGTCACGCAAACTGTGTCTAAAAGATTCCATAATGGTGGCAAAAATGCATAAAAGTATACAGACTACAATTTGACTGTACGTGTAAAACTCTCGCACGGTTTTCCCACGATAATAAGGTTTGGCTCAAACAATTACGCGACTCACCTGGCCAGGCACTTAGTGTTCGTTGGATTTTTCTTATACTTGCAAAATAGTTTTCTTTTATATAATATTTCTATTCGTTCAACTGGCTCTGCCACTGAGCTTTGAATTGCTATGCATATTTTGTCTCGAAACAATTTTGGCTTAGTTTTGGTTGTGGCTCTCATTTTACCGTTTATATGGCTTGATAAATTTCCAACTTGCACCGTCACATATTTTCGTCATTAGTCTTTTTACTAAATGCCTGTGCACATTTTGGCATGCAAATCTGCGTACACCTCGGAATGTCAACAAGTGCTATATGAAAATGAGCCAACCATAAGGTTAGGTTGAGTAAGATGTACTTATGGACGAATGCCGTCGGACTCAGGTTCTCTTACTGAAGTAAATGTTGAAAAATATCTATATACATAACTTAGAAACTACTAACTGACATGTAGAACAATACCTTGATTCTTTGCAGCGTGTAGGAGGCAACCCTTACTCTCCACAGTACTTAAATACTTCGAGCTGTTGCGTATCTTCGACGAATATATTAAACTTAATATTTATTTGATTTCAAATTTCAAGATGCTCAACATTGCAGATAACTTCGAAAAGGCCTTGTCATACATACTTTAAAGTGTCGAAAATCCAAGGGTCGTTTGTCAGAGAATAGAAGATATTAGAGTCTTTTAGAAATGAATGTTAATTGCATTCATGGGATAACTTTCTTAAATTTCGGCAATATTATGTCAGACAGAATCAGGTTTTCATAAAACTATTGAAAGATACCACTTAATGGCTTAAAATGGTTAAATATGATATATAGGTGGGAGGATCATAATGTTCCGTAGCAGAGAATAATACGAGACCTATAGCTTCTAGGC